TCCTCTTCCTTGTCCTATCCTCATCCCTTACTTACACTTATATGCATTACACACAAATGTTCGTCGGGAGCATAGAGCTTACTTAGAGCGGCTGAAGCGATGCCCTGCTTGGAGATACCCTGTTAGGGGAAACCCCGCCAGCCAATATGTAGGTTGGAGTGGGATCTCACCATTCAGCGGGGGAAGATCACCGCCACCTCCCACGATAAAAACACGCACTCCACTTACAGAACTAATGACCGTAGCAGTTGGCGCGCCCGATGTCACTAATCAATCAACAGAGGCTTGACGGCGCACTGCGGCTTTCAGGCCTCCCCTGTACGCTCCCTCTCCGATGGCTCTAGAGAGCACAGGCAAGCGGTAGTTGCGACAGCGTCACTGAGCAGAAATCCCTAGGGATCACCCCTCGACGGTGCTGGATTTTCCGCACGAGCTATACAGATGGACTAAATCCATCCTCAAACTGACGGATGGAAAGTAGAATTTTTGAAAAAAATAACACTTTTCCGTTATCAGAGGATCCTAATGTGTATCCCCGTTAAAATCACGACCGATTCTCCGTATCAATTTATAACTTTCTCTATAACAATTATTGTCTTTGTGCGTACGTATGTATACAAGAAAATATGAGTAGAAAGTATTATTGAACTTTAATTTAGGATATTCAATTATAGGTGTTGGTAAATAAAAAAATCCTTGTGAAAATATGAATACTGTCGTAGTAATAAGAAAGTGATTTGATAAACTTTTAGCTTGAATAATTGCATCTATTTAAAGTGCTGAAATATTAGCACGGGTTCATTGGTATTATTGTAGGATAAGGTACTCGCGTCATTGGAAAACGATGATATTGAAAAAATAGGGCAATTCGAATGGAATTGAAGGAAATTTAGTATAGACTCTACTTCAACATAGGTCACACTAATTCTGATTTGAATTACAAGATGCAAATGAGCTTTTATTCTGGCCGAAATGTGGCCGAAATATAATTTTAGACTAGACGCTTTCAAGAAAACGGTATCACGCCTCGTTGGTGACGATGAGTCTGTAGCACAAAACTGTGGATGAGTCGGTGGAGTAGTAGAAGAAATTATAATTTTAAAATTGCACAATAATATAAATACTAATTTTGGTCTTATATATATTTTTTGAACTTCAAAGAGATAGATAATAAGCACCAGTACAGTTTCGGAATTTTGTGTGGACCATTTCCAGAATTTTGTGTGGACGTATTTTATTAAACGAGAAAGCCCCTCCTGGTTCAGAAATTTTACATTTTATAAATTTTAAATTAAGACACAAATATTTGTGAGAAATTCAAAAGTATTGGGCTGTTTTCGCTCAATTAAAACTCCACTCGCTTTAATAAACAGATTCCGGCAATTTAACAGAATTGCAGTGTTCAAGCATTTCCACTGACCCCAAAACAAGGTTCTGTTCTTTTCGTTCGATATTTGAGCAGCCCAAAAGGTTACAAATATCCTCCACTCAACAGCAAAAATTTTATCCCGAAATCCTGATATAGACTTCAAGTTACAGCTCGCTCAGTCTATCGCTAGCTGCATTTACAAAAGTCACTCACGAAAGCCCAGATCGTAACTTGTGGAGTGTTATTCCAAAACGTGCGTGCCACGATTTCCACCAAGAAATGCTCTCTCCGGGAAGCGAAATTAAACGTTACTGCAAATTGTATTTCCCGTGAACGCCGCGCACCGGCTGGTTGGAACTCATTTTCCACGGCCGCTGTTATTTATTTTTCTATTGCTAGCAGCAGCTGATGGCATTACCTGCGCTTTATTGGCTATCCTGATAACATAGAAGACACGCTGATGCGTTCTTGTAATCAAGTTAATGCCATCAATTAGATTCTAATTGTTCGAACAATGTTTTCTCTGGATATTGCGTTTTAAAATCACAACAGACGCGGGCAATCTGATTAAGTATACCTATTCAATTACACGTTTATGCGACTGACGAAATGCGCTCCAAGCTGCGGCCGTCACGACATGCAGAGCGCGCCCTGCCGGGCGATTACGGCCGATTCAATGAGAGAGGTGCCTATTACATCGGGCGCGCCTCCCTTCTGGCCGTTTCGTCATGCGACGGAGCGCGGCGCGCTGCCTCCGGGATGGGCCGCTTTCCCAAGGAAGAGCGAGAGAGAGAGAGAAAAAGAGAGAGAAAAAGAGAGAGAGAGAAAGAGAGAGAGAGAAAGAGAG